GAGTATTTTTTCTTAAACCACAAACTTTTCTTGGTCCATACTGCTTTCCTCTTTGTGTGGGTGAAGGTGGCAGGCCTCACAATGACCAAGACACTATCTCCCTCCAAACTATCTGGGTGGGGATGCAACAAATAAAACTTGAGATGATCTCACATATGGATTCCAAGCTTGAAACTATTAAAGTTAGCCTCAACAAAATTGAAGGCTCACTCTCTACACTTGGAGAACAAGTTACTGAGCTGGAGCAGAGAGTCATCTCCAATGAAGACAATGTACAGGACCTGATACAACGTGTCAAAACACTTGAAAATGATAATGCCCACCTGAAAGATCGAGCTGAAGCCGCTGAGAACCAGAGCCGGGCCTCTAACCTGCGCTTCATTAATGTCCCCGAGAAGGCTGAGGGTAGGGACATCCTCAGCTTCATGAACCGCTTGATCCCGCTGCTCCTCGGTGAAGTGAATTTCCCCACTCCTCCTGTCATTGAGCGTTGTCACCGTTCATCCTTCATCAAGCTTAACTCCAGAGCCGGACCAAGGCCGATCCTGGTTTAGTTCCTCCACTTCCAGGACAAGATAAAGATCTTGAGGCTCTCCAGGGAAAAGAAGGAGCTTGTTTTTAACGGAACACGAGTTCTTATCAACCCGGACTTCAGTGCTGCTCTTGTCCAGAAACGTCGGCAGTTTGGCCCATAGAAGAAGAAGCTGCGAGATCTGGATTTGACATACTCTGTGCTCTTTCCCTGTACGCTGAAGGTGGTCCATGATGGTAAGACAAAACACTCTCTCGTTCCTCAGTCCTCATAGCTTCATCAAAGACACACTGAACAGGTGGAAACAGAAACTGATGGAGAGGACTGTGGAGGACCAGAACCAGCCAGGAACTCAGATCCAGATACACATTTACAACCTGAGACTGATGACAAGACTGGAGAGTTTTCTGAATCAGAGATTGATGAGAGTGATGACAGTGATGATTGGACAGAGACCAGAGAATATCAGTCAGGCTTAAACTCTCTTAGAAATGATGAAGACCTGTTAGTGATTTGGAATATAGTGCTGATGAGAAACCATTTAGCTGCTCTGAGTGTGGGAAAAAATATAGTCACAGTTCAGCACTGACGATACACATGAGATCCCATACAGGAGAAAGACCATTTAGCTGCTCTGTGTGTGGGAAAAGATTTTCGCAAAAAGATCATCTGAAGGCTCACATTTTGTTTATTTTCTTTATTTTAAGGATCCCCATTAGCTGAATGCCTTGGCAATCAGCTCGTCTTCCTGGGTCCACACTACTCACACGAGAACTCATTCAGGAGAAAGACCATTTAGCTGCTCTGAGAGTGGGAAAAGATTTTCTCAAACAGGCAATCTGAAGACATACATGAGATCTCATACTGGAGAAAGACTATTTAGCTGCTCTGAGTGTGGGAAAAGAGATGGAAACAGAGGCTGAAGGAGAGGACTGTGGAGGACCAGAACCAGCCAGGAACTCAGATCCAGATACACATTTACAACCTGAGACTTATGACAAGACTGGAGAGTCTTCTGAACCTGAGACTGATGATAGTGACGATGATTGGAAAGAGACCAGATAATCTCAGTCATGTTTTTGCTGTGAACTTGTAGCTTCCTGTCAGTTGTTAGCAGTTAGCAGAAGGTTAAACTGTTACAGCGGCGCCTTTTAAATGTCAGGACTTATTCACTGTAAGCTGGTAACAAACTTAGGCCTCTCCAGTTCATGTATTTATACTATTTGCCAGTCGCATTGGAGCTCCACGGTCACAAAATGCGACTGCGAGTCACAGTTTGGATCTCTCCTGGTCACACTGTCGTTTAAATCATTAAGTTCAACTCTTACAGCTGCGCCGCTCAACATGGATGTCATGGAAACATGAACAAATTTAAGTTGCTTTAAAATGCTTGTATTTTCATTTTACATATATTCACATCATATCTACATCATAAGGCTGATACTGTATGATTTTTATATTACCATGTTTTATTTTTGATTGTTGTTTTGTTGGGCTTAGGTTTGACTCATACGTCACAGCATGCAGAGCTGTGTGTGTGTGTGTGTGTGTGTTTGTGTGCGTGCGTGCACTGTGGTTGAGCTCACGTGTAGTGAAACATGAGTCATATCATGGGTCCATCAATGCCACATGGGAGGGCCATGTGACGTTGATGGACAGATACTGTCAATCAGCCAACTGTGTTTTGAATTTACTGAAAACCTGTCCGTGGTGTCATCAAGAACTGGGCTTGAGAGCGTATAAAAAGAGACAACATTTGGCGATCGTGGCCTTCTTTCAGAGGCCCTGGTCTCTCTGAATCATGTTTTTTTGCTCTGGCAGGAAACTGAACATCAGATTGAATCTTTTATCTTCCTTTGTGAAACTCATCGCCGGTGAAAGTTGACTTGGAGCGGCAGCTGGCCTGTGCTGAAGAGCATCTGCTCTCCTGAGGGACCCGTAATAACTCTCTCACAGGGCCTTGAACAGGAAGCCAAAGCAGTTAATGTCAGACGGTTTCTGGACTGATCTTTACTGAAAAATAAAAAGATGCAAATTCAGGTGATACATTTTTACAAAACCAAATTTAAAATCAGATTTGCCTAATTGAATGGCTTACAAAACCTATCCAGACCAGTTCAAACTATTTTTAACTTTTTCCCAAAAAATTTGAATTTTAACATTTTTGGTTTAAATTCATTTTTGCCTTTTACTATATTATTTGACGGAAAACACCGGAATTGAGGGAATAAAAATCATTTTACAACTTGAGACATTTCTCTCTGAATCTTTATTCCTCATGAGAAAGCCACAAACACCAAGGACTGGGGGTTTTCTTCACAAGCTCACCGGAGAGCACAATTTACATGGACTCACTGTCTTTACTGTGTGTTTTGAATCAACTAAACTTCACAGCACTTCACAGAAACCTCACCGCTGACTAGTGTTCTAAAGGTGTAACTGCAGAGTGATGCAGACACCACCGCACAAGCAGAGCCATAGAATCACAAAGGAGGATAAGGGCCATGTTAAAGAAAAAAAAACATCTTAGAGTTCGAGACTCAAGTCGTAAATCTACAACATTAAATTTGTAATTTTAGCAGAAAAAAGTCACAGATTAAAATTGTAAAGTCTGGTTACATGGTATAAAAAGCGTCAAAGTGTGTACAAGTGTGCTGGGGGTGACAGTAATATTTGTTTTAGCAGTACCGAAGTAATATAATCCACTACCAACAAGATTTTGGGAGATATTACATTTACAGTGTCACGTAACATTTTAACACATCTGGGTTATGTCTTGTTTTTTCCTCGTCCCTGTTTAACACATCTGGGTTCATGGTATGTGCGTTAGTATGTTGAATGTTTCCATTCACATCCCCTCCAACTGCAGAGCAACACCAGCACACAGTCACATTGTTGGAAACAATCTTACATCATCTTTTTTTGTTTGGTTCATGGTTTTTCCAGAACTTTGACAATGTAATAAAGTACAGGGGGCGCCCACTCCATCCGCTAAGCCACCGACACCCTGTGGAAGTTTCGTTTGATTCTTGTTCAGCTGTAATCTGATGGGGCCCAAACACACTGGGCAGCGACTCAAAATCAATCACAAAAATATCGTACAGACTGGTAGAAATTTTGCTTATAATTATGTCATTCTGTTAATATTCGGCTGAGGTTAATTGAACTGCTGTAAAATGACTTCCGATTCACGTAATCTCCTTCATTCTCAGATGGAGCTATTATGGGATGTTGAGTCCCATAAATGAGCCAATTACACCACAGAATCTTTGCGTTTATGAAAAGTATTCATGAATCATTGCATCATGTATCCACGGAGATTAATATGCTATTAAAACTGACAAGCCTGCAATTCTGTGGAATTCCTTTTTTCTTTTTTAAAGATTGTTTTTTTGTTGCCTTTAATGGCAAGACAGCATAGCGTTAAGGGGGAGAGAGAGGGGGAATGACGCACTCACAGTTAGAGAGTGCAGGCTGGAATTGAACCCGCGGCTGCTGCAACAAAGTCCCCGTGCCCCGTGGAACCTGTCTTTGATGATCCTTTTTGATGTATGCCCCGGGAAAACTGCTAAAACGGGCAAAAATCTTTTCAGAGCCAGAGTCACTTTTCTTACGGCCTGACAAATTGCTGTCTTGCTGATATGCTCAGTGTTTCTGATGTTATAAAGAAAAGAATCAAAGGGCAATGCATAAAATTTGCTCCGATGATAATGTAAATCCATGATGTGTAATATTTGATATATGTGAGAACAGATCGTTCGATAAATGATAGAGTGACACTCCTCCGGGGAGACATCCATATCATCATCTCCTGATGCAGCAGCCCCTGAATAAACTGTGTCTCAATGTCCACAACTTCATTCACAAAGGACACGCCATGTCTCTCCTTTCTGCTACACGCTCAGCAGGCGATCAGCCTCAGGCTTAGATGCAAGCCAGCAGTTTCCCTCATCTCAGAACATTAACATACTCAGAGTTTTCACTAATCCTGCTCTCTGAAATAGGGCCCAGGTGTTCTCTGAGGATGGCTCAGGTTGTGGTTGAAAGAGTCAGAGACAAAAACTTAGTCGGAGTTAAAGAATGAATGTTCAAACTCAATGAGTATCAGTATTTAAGAAGTGTTTTTTTTTTTGTTTTTTGTTTTAAAATATTCTTTATTTCACATTTCCTTCAGGGGTTACAAACAAATTGTGATACAGATGAATAAAAGATATGCAGAAAATTACACCAAAAATACGATATAACAGAATCTTTATCTCAGAGCACAAATTTAGGGTTTTCACAGTGTTTCTACTGCTTGAGGTAAATAAAGTCCTGATATGGGATTCTGCTTCATTTTCAAAGGTACGACAAGTGTTTTCTCTCAGTAATTCCGGTGTTACATTTCAGGTCTTTTATTTTGAAGTTCAGTATTTCATCTGCCCCGGAAGCTGTATTCCTCACTGTGACCAACGTCACATTAGTTTAACAAGATGGCGTCCAGTAGAAACGTGTGTTAGCAGAGTGTCTTTGTTGTGTTTTTAAAGTGTGAACATGTCTAAAGTCCAAATGCTGAGATCGTTGGTGAAGCAGCGACTAACTGCGGCTGCTGAAGAGATATTTGGGCTGTTTGAAAGAACGATAGCAGAGTACGAGGAGGAACTTTGTCGATCAAAAGAGGAGAACGAGCGACAACGGAAACTACTGGACGCTGTTTTCAACCCTCAGCTTCGGTTACACAGAGCAGGTTTGTTCATTAAACATTACAAGTTCATTATTAATAATATAACTGCAGCTTTGTTCAATAAATATTCAGTCTGTCGACGTTTATACGCCGCGTTAGCTTCTCTGGTGTCGTTAGCTTCTGTGGTGCCGTTAGCTTCTGTGGTATTGTTAGCTTCTCTGGTGTCGTTAGCTTCTCCGGGGTCGTTAGCTTCTCTGGTGTCGTTAGCTTCTGTGGTGTCGTTAGCTTCTCCGGGGTCGTTAGCTTCTCTGGTGTCGTTAGCTTCTCCGGTGCCGTTAGCTTCTCCGGTGCCGTTAGCTTCTCTGGTGCCGTTAGCTTCTGTGGTGTCGTTAGCTTCTGTGGTGTCGTTAGCTTCTCTGGTACCGTTTGCTTCTCTGGTGTCGTTAGCTTCTCTGGTGTCGTTAGCTTCTCTGGTGTCGTTAGCTTCTCTGGTGTAGTTAGCGTGTTACACATGGCGAAGTACGAACAGTTGCAACAAGTACACAAATCAGCTTCACTATAACTCCACATTCACAGACAAACACTTGTCTTAATCTGGACACATTTTCCCCACAAATGCAACATGCTAATGTTTTTAGCACAAGCCTATGGCATTTTACATTGTATAACTAAGGTAACGGTAGAAAATTTGGCTCCATTACAGCTCACAAGGTTCACCGACAAAACAACTGTCTTAAGCTAAACACGTTTTCCAAACAAATACAACATGCTAATGTAATTAGCATAAGCCTATGTCACTTTACATTGTATAAGGTAGCCTGGCGACAAGCGAGATTTCCTCTGCTCATATGAAACCAAGATAAATCACACACAAGACGTATGCAGGATTTATACTTACGCTCAAATCCACGCCGTACCTATGCCATAGGCTCTGTGTTGAGGAACAGCAGTTTTGGCACTTTGTGTTCATCCTCAGAGGCTGTGGCTTGATTTCTACCATCAAATGCCATGTTCTGGCATGTCAGTCAGTATAATTACTATTTTTTTGCAGTTTATCAAGTATATTAAAATGTTGACATATCTGAGACAGTGTCTTAAATATTCTCTGACTTCTCTCAGGAAATCTTGTCCAGGTTTGACAAGTCTAAGTATAGTGGTTTTTGACCTGGACCTGGTTTAATGTGATCTTCCCATATAGAATGAAGGTTTCACAAACCTGAAACTGTGTTTTAAATAATATTTAGCCTCTTTAGGATAATTTAGACAGAAGAATAGACTTTTATTATTGTTGCAGAAGTACAATGAAATTGGGTGGCTCTCCTTAAAAAAAAACCCTGATTACAAAACAAGGTGGATCACTATGACAATGAATGTAATTAATGTAACAATTGTATCTATATCTATCTGTGTATATATATGTATATATATATGTATATATGTATGTATGTATGTATGTGTATATATATATATGTATATATATATATATATATGTATGAAAAGGATGTAAAAAACATCTAAAACAAAACATTGCCCACATGTTTCATTGCACATAATGCTAATGGACGATAGTATCATATTGCACAAGAGATCACAGTGTATGTTAAGTGTTCATATTGAGTGCAGTGATGGCTCTGGGATATAAACAGTTTTTCAGCCTGTCTGTCTGTGATTTAAAGGCTCTCCAAGTCTTCCAAAGCTTGAGAGGTTTTTGTCACATACAGCAAACTCTCCTCACAATCCGCTAGCTACATGTCCTCTGAATATGCTGTGAAAAAGTCCGGTCTCTGTAGGCAGCCCAGGCTCCGCGACTGATTCACTTAAAGTCTGAATGGCTGAGTGAACACTGTGAAGCTGTTTGATGCTCAGAGATCTGTAGAAGTTCAGTAAGGAGTTTTTGAGCTGTGATGTGAATGAACGACAACATTTCTCAGTAACATCTGTGTGTTTCCTGTTTCCTGCAGACGTCCAGCAGCTGTTGGTGGTTAAAGAAGAGGTTCCCCCTGAGCAGCAGGAGTGGAGCTCCAGTGTGGACCAGGAGGACCCAGAGCCTCCACACATTAAAGAGGAACAGGAGGAACTCTGGATCAGTCAGGAGGGAGAGCAGCTTCAAGGGCTGGAGGAAGCTGATATTCCCGAGTTCCCTTTTACTATTGTCCCTGTGGAGAGTGAAGATGAAGAGGAGGAACCTCAGACCTCACAGCTTCATCAAAGACTCATTGAGCAGATGGGAACAGAAGCTGATGGAGAGGACTGTGGAGGACCAGAACCAGCCAGGAACTCAGATCCAGATACACATTTACAGCCTGAGACTGATGACAGTGATGATGATTGGACAGAGACCAGAGAATATCAGTCAGGTTTTAACTTTCTGGAAAGTTATGAAGTCCCCGTAAGTGATTCACGTGTTAATTTGAAACCATTTCGCTGCTCTGAATGTGGGAGAAGGTTTGGTCACAGTGGGAATCTGAAGACACACATGAGGACGCATACAGGAGAGAAACCATTCAGCTGCTCTGTGTGTGGGAAAAAATTTGCAGAAAGTGGAAATCTGAAGATACACATGAGAATTCATACAGGGGAGAAACCGTTTGGCTGCTCTGAGTGTGGGAAAAGATTTTACCATAAGACACACCTGAAGAGACACATGATCACTCACACAGGGGAAAAACCTTTCAGCTGCCTAGTTTGTAAGAAATCGTTCACACAGAGTGGAAATTTATACACTCACATGCGAAGCCACACAGATGAAACACCATTTGGCTGCTCTGAGTATGGGAAGAGATTGGGCCCCAGGACACATCTGAAGCAAGACAGCAGCTCTGATACAGGAGAAAAACCTTTCAGTTGCCCAGCTGAGAAATCTTTTTCAGTGAGTGAACATTTACAGACACACATGATGATCCACACAGCAGAGACACCATTCAGCTGCAGTGTTTGTGACCAAAGATTCACTTGGCCTCATCAACTCAGAGACCATCAGTGTGATATTCATCAGTCTGATCGGGCTCGTGAAAGTCGGACTGAGGAGAAGGGAGAGGCAGAGCCTCCAGCCAGCAGCTCAGCTGAACAGATGGAAACAGAAGCAGACCGAGAGGACTGTGGAGGACCAGAACCAGCCAGGAGCTCAGATCCAGAAGCATATTTACAGCCTGAGACTGATGACAAGGCTGGAGAGTCTTCTGAACTTGAGACTGAACACTGATGGTGGTTGTACGCAAACCGATGAACCTCAGTTATGTATAAACCCATTTAAAAATGATGAAGTCCCATTCTGTCTTATGACACTTACTACTGGCTAAAAACCTGAAATTGCTCTGAGTGTTGTAAGAGATTTGTCTGCTGGAGTCTGAAGGAACACAAGAATTCATACAGGAAAGAAACCATTGAGTTGCTCAGTGTATGAGCTTGAGCTGGTTTGATTATATGCAAACTGGCTTAATCGGCTTTTGTCATTTCAACATAACCCGACCAATTAAACAGTAGCTTACACAAGCAACCAGTGTTGATGGCGTCACGTCGCTAAGTCCAACTTGTACTGTACTAGTAATAAGCAATAAAACAACTTTCTTAACATAATATTAAGTGTATAAACAGACTAACAGAGCCACAAGAGTCCAGCAAGCCATGCACAATTTACTGCCAAACCCAGGCTGGTGTTGGTAACATGAAGGAGATCGAATTTCAGAAGAGGTGGGATGGACAGAGCAGCGCACACTGTTTGTTTATAGGAGAGTTCATGTGTTTTTTGAGTGATGAGAGGATACATGACAGAGTTGGTCTCAAGAAATTTAGAACTGCGCTAGTATCGCCCCGTTTCCACCAAACACTTTCAGTATGGTACCTTTGGAACCAACAGTAACCCTTCAGACATGGTACCTAGACCCTCGGTCTGTTCAGACAGTCTTCTTAAATGTGGGCGGGGTTGTTGTCACTCACTGCTCCGCCCAGCACTCGCTGTATTTCCTCATCAACGGTGACACAGGTGGAAGTCTGCACCCCGTTTATCGTCCACAGAACGAGGCTGCACGCCGACATTTTCAGAACAAAACAGAACAGGCTGCAGTGAGAGTCTCTCTCCATGGGATATTAAAAAATAGCAGCTTTGTGCATTTAGTCCTTCTCAGGCAAGCTCAGGGGTTTAGTGTTGCTGTAGCCCACAGCACTTTTTTTTTCTCCAAGTGAGGATTAGAATATATGCAGTACACAAAACTAATATGATTAATATATGCAAACACTTGAAGATCCACTCATTACTAAAAGTGTCTGTCATTATAAAAACTAAAGTGATTGTCAAAGTTGTCACAGTGAAATTTAAGGTGTGCTGATGGATTCACGTCATCAACTCATGCATTGAGTAACATTACAAGTTAACGTTCCACCTTAAAAGTCGCTGGCAGTCGGCCCAGTGAGTGAAGTTATTTTTTCTCAGACTACAGCTTTGAGAAAGCTAATCAACACAGCGTGTTGTGTTCACAGCTCCACCTTTTAGTACCAGATCTGTGTGCTAGGTTCCCCAACAGATGGGGGACCAAACATGGGGACATTAGGGAACAGGTCCATTGGTACCATCCACAACTTTTCACTGTGGAAACAGAAAAAAAGCGCACCGAGCTGAACTGAACCGCACTGCTCGGTGGAAACGGGGCGTATGGATTTGGAACTGACGAGGTGTCTAAGGTGGCTGCACAGGACGAGCTGAACTTTCATGAGATGCTGCGTTGCTCGCTTTGAAAGCACTACAATAGATGAAGAACAGCTGATTCATAAAGTTGAAATGAGAAATTATCTCCAAGATATTTTCTCATTTCACCACAGAAACCTAAATAAGATGGCAGCTGGTTGGAGTGAGATCGCAACGTAGCTGAACGTTTCTGGTAAACTAAAACACTATTGCTAAAAACAAGCAATGCTACCTGCAGTTGGCTATACTGTATGCCATTTCCAGTAAATGTCTCGGTATCAGATGTATTTTTTGGTTTAAAAGGTGATGTTACAAATGAGGGAAGATAGCAAGTAAGCTACTCACCCATCTGTGAAGTGGTGAGGTCTCCAGTCTGATCTCGAGGACACAGCTGATAGTTATGTGTTTAACAGAAGTGCATATTCAATGGATGCAGTGTGGACAGAGATCTCCGATATTACGCCATGCTATGCGATAGTGAGACACTAGTTTGCTGATAGGACACAATGTTGTTATGCTCCACTCAGGAGCGGTGTTTGGCTTAATATCAGACCGGTTTAAAAACGTCCACACCAGCCCAACGCTATTTGTGGTGCAAGATTCCCTTGGAAGGAAAACATTGTTCGTCACATGAGATTTGGTTTCAGCTGCTCAGTTTGTAAGAAACACTCCAGACTGAATGACCACGCTGTGACACACATATGGGAACCCACATTGGAGAGAAACCCTTCAGCTGCTCAGTGTGGGGAAAAGTTTTAAACAAAAAAATTGAAAATTAACAGCAGTGGCAGTAAAACTACCGGTTCAGCTGAACTTTGAGCAGCGATGAAACTCTGGAGCGACAGAGAGTTGAAACAGTTGTGGACATGTTTGAAATAAGAACAGTTTTCTTCTGCTGTGAGCAAACAACATTTGGAGTTGGGTATTGTTTCGCTCCAGATATCGATCCTGGTTCTTACTGGCGTCTGGTAACGGTTCTCCAACTATTTTTATAGTACGACATGAGACGAATCTCCTTATCAACATTAAATTCAGTCATTAAGTGTTCACTGGTTAATAAACCAGTGAACACTGTGAACCAGTGAACTGCTTATTTAAGATAATCTTGAGTGACAAATTTGATGTGATCTCTGTTTGTTTATCTGGTGATAAGTTTATGTTTTGACTGATCGATGTGATTTTATATGAAACTGTGATGAACTCGAATAGACTCTACGTGTTGTATATATTGATCTGTGTAGGGCATATCTACAACATAGAGAAGCGAATATCCTCCCCTGCATGGCCCTGTTTTCTTTTTTCATTTATAGATGGCTGAGTGATTAATTTTTATTGAAATGTGAAATACAAGGAGCCCCATATGAACGCATCTCCACAGGTGGCGGTGCTCCTGTATAACGTTAAACTGTTTAAAAGAACAAAACTTGAACTTTAACTTTGCCTTTGTTTGAAACTTAAGAAAAGGGAAACAGTATGTCGTCTGGATGTGGCTCAATGTTTTCTCTGCGCTCTGAAAATGTAACAAAATATGTTTTTCTGTAAACTGAGTGGCTTGAATATGTAAAAAATGAAGTGTTTCCCAGACTGATAGACCTGAATAAAGGCAACAGAACTGAATGACTTAATGACATTTTAACAGAAACCGCAACTTCTCTGTGTTGAAAAATGCTTTTTTTTTCCCAAGTTCAGAAATTAATCTTCAAGCTCAACAAATTCCGTTCTTTCGAAAGTGGATTTTAATAATTAATCTTCCTGTAAATTTTTTTCTGAGTAATTCCAGTAACACTTCAGGAGTATTTTTCCCAACAGTATCGTTATTTATTTTAACAACAACAAAGAAAGACAAACACATAAGAACTAAACACTTAGAGATCTTTCAGTGATCAATTAAAACAATGGCTGATTACTAAGCACACATGTAAGCACTAAACTCTTTTCTGCTGCTGCTGATAATAATAATAATAATAATAATAATAATAATAGTAGTAGTAGTAGTAATATGTCCTGCTGGTGTTGCAATGTTGATCTATGTTCAAGATTCAAGAGGCTTTATTGTCAGTTCTCCAGTTATGTAACAGACATACAGAGGATCGAAACTCTGAATTGACCCACAGTGCGAAAGGATAAGTATAAATAAGGAAGTCTAAGAGCAAAGAAGAAGTTATACAAAAATGAAAATATGGACCTATATCGCTACCGTCTCTAGCCAAATCATTAAAACCACTGACACTGAGTGAATAACTTTGATTATGTTGTTCTAATGCATTGTTTTGCTGGGAAACCTTTGGTTCTGGGATTCATGTGGATACCACCTGACATGTTCCACCCACGCAAACACCATTGCAGACCAAGGGCAGGACACTCCCAGAGATCATGTGTCCATGCTTTAACAGGTCAGAGCCAATTCCAATTCAAAGAGGCCCCACCTTGGATTAGGGGTACATCTGGGGTACCGGCGCACCACAAGAATTCTTGAGCAGATTGGGACCTGGGACATTTAGAAGCCAGGTCAACACACTGATGTCTTTGCCATGCTCCACAGCCCATTTCTAAACAGTTTATGTTGTATGGCATGCTCCTTTTTTTCTGCTGGGGGGGCCACTACCATTGGGCATGAGGGGGGTACTTGGTCTGCAATGGTGTTTGAGTGGGTGGAACATGTCAGGTGGTATCCACATGAATGCCAGAGGTAGTGCCGTGGTAGAAATGAACTGGGGCACACTGTGAAAGATGGGGATATGGGGCCCTTTCACAAGATGAACAGATGCTAAATTCTTGTCACACCTACAGTTGAGATCAATCTTAAGGTCACTCTCAAAGAATATATCCACAGGGCTCAGCAAGAACTTGATAATAAATTGAGTACAAAATTTTACAAATAAAAGTGGCATGGCTGTGGTGAGGCAGGATCACTGATGCATCTGTTGTAGCATTGCCGTAATTTGAGACGTGTGTTAAGTGTTTGTAATTGTTGCTTTGGTACCTGCCCTCTCACAGTTCTCAGTTTTGATGTTTTCATGCAGGTCCTCTCTTTTCTTTATAGATGATACATCGCCTTTTCTACTGTTGACATGAGGGGATGGAAATTGGTCCTAAATGGGATTGTTCATGGGTTACATATTGGCTCCATGCCAGTTGCCCACATGAGTGGGTCTACCCAAGTGGGCCCCGGATGAGATGCCCATTTTTGGCCCATACCCATTTGGTACCCAGGTAGCGCGGGCATAAACCAAGTGGGGTCCACTTTGGTAAAGCCAATGATGTAGGCATGGGGCTGATATGGACAATCCCATTCAAGGCCCATTTGTCGGCCCATTTACTACCCACATGGGCCCCACATACGAATGCTGTCTGAGAAATGAAAAACAGAGAGAGAGACAAAGGAATGGATCTTTGTGCAAAGTTTGGTTTATTTTCAAGCATGAGAAGGCAGATTTTCTAGCAGAAAAACACTTGAAGATGCTGCACAGTGATCAGTCACGCTCAGGCAATTTTAAGCAATAAGCTGGAGCACAAGAAGATGTTTACATTACAATGTGGATTCTGCACCAGTTGAGGCTCAAACTCACAACCTCTAGAACCTACGACAGTCATCTACTACTCTGAGCTAATTGGCAAGTAGCGACTCAACAGTGGCTTCACAAATTGAGTAAGCCATTCACTGTTGTGTAGGAAAGCAGCCATCCGTGCATGGAAAGGCAGATTTGAAACCACTGTAAAAAATTCAGTTATTAAGACAAAAATCTGAAAATACACATATTGCATCTAGACAGCATGGAGATGTTGGTAATTTATTTGTAACAATGATTGATTTGCTCCATAAGTGAAAAACTGATGTTTAAAATTGCCATTTTTACATTGACTCCAATTGTTCACATTAAAGCAAAATTCAAAATGCTGTCAAAAATTCAGTTTCTGAGATACAATTCTGAAATTTGCCACACATCATCTACCATGACTCTAGAATTTTGTCATTTTTTTCATGAACATTGAAGATTTATTGAGCAAGAATTTGCATGTAAATGTTTACAGTACCGTTTACAGTCAAACATTTCGATGCACTGTAGGCTCAATTTTTGATAAATCAAAAATCTGAGAAACATAGTTTTTGTAGGACAGTCTGAAGATGCTCTGTAGCAAGTTTGGTGTCAATTGAGCAAAAATTGTGGGAGGAGATAGGTTTAAGAAGTTTTACAGTTTTTGAAAAAAACAGATTGATGAACGTCATAATTTTTAATAGGTTTAAATGTACAAAAGTTTCCTCAGTATTGGGGCTACAGTTTGATGAAAGTTGTGAAGTTGTAGCATGTATGGTTGATTTGTTATGAATTTTCAAAGTTTTGAACTTTAGACACTTGCTGTAGCGCCACCATCAGGACTATTGGCTTGAGTTTACAGCTGAGGATATCTGGCATGAGACTGGACCTTTGTGCAAAGTTTGGTGAGTTTTCACCCATGGGCAGTATGATTTCCTCGGAAGAAGAATGAAGAAGTAGAACAAGAAGAAGAACTAGGATTACAAAGAAAGAGACAAACAAACAAGAAGGAAAGAAGGGAGAAACAAAAAGAAAGATAGAAA